GAAACGGTGGAAGCGGGTGTGGATCAGTGGCTGATAATGACAGGGGAACAGTCTTTCTGATGGCAAAGGAATGCAGATGCTGGGAGATGATGATTCTGGGTTAAAAAAGCTGGTGGCTGTAAGTAAGTAGGTAGGTATGTGTGTACGTTTGGAAGTGAAAGAGTAACGGTTTAAAAGCGGGAGCTAATGTTGTAAGTAAGAGGGAGGAAAATGACACTGATATCAAGGGAATTGTATAAAGAAGCCTGGGTTAACAAAAGCGGTTCATACTAAAGAGGGAGAAAAATCATCGTCAAAAAAAAAATCTAACCATATCGGACGGTATTAAAAGTAAGAAAATAAATAAAGAAAATAAAATGAAAAAAAAATTAGACACTAATTCAAGAGAAGAAATTTAACTAAAAGATAATTTCGAAGGGAATATTTAAATAATTTAAATCTTCTGGTCCGAGGACAAATTTTGGATAAAGATGAATGTGTTGATCCAAGCATCTTAGTGGTGACGTTGATTTGCTTTTGAAAAATCAATACGCAGATTACAGAAAGGAATAAAAGAGAAAGAAAAGGAAATAAATAAAGAAAAAAAAAACGAGACAAATGAAAGAGAAAAAAGAAAAAAAGGAAAGAGAGAAAAAAGAGACAGGGGAAAGGGAAGAGAGAAAAAAGAGAGACAATGAAAAGAATAGGAAATAAAGAAAAAACGAAACAAAGGAAAGAGAGAAAAGAAAGAGACAGGGAAAATAAAGAAAGAAAAAAGAGAGAAAGGAAAGAGAAAAAAAATAGTCAGGGAAAAGAAAGAAAAAGAGACAAAGTAAAGGAAAGAGAGAAAAGAAAGAGGCTGGGAAAAGAAAAGAGACAAAGAAAAGGAAAGAGAGAAAAGAAAGAGGCTGGGAAAAGAAAAGAGACAAAGAAAAGGAAAGAGAAAAGAAAGAGGCTGGGAAAAGAAAAGAGACAAAGTAAAGGAAAGAGAGAAAAGAAAGAGGCTGGGAAAAGAAAAGAGACAAAGAAAAGGAAAGAGAAAAGAAAGAGGCAGGGAAAAGGAAAGAGAAAAAGACACAAAGGAAAGGAAAGAGAAAAAGAGACAAAGAAAAGGAAAGAGAAAAGAAAGAGGCAGGGAAAAGGAAAGAGAAAAAGACACAAAGAAAAGGAAAGAGAGAAAAGAAAGAGGCTTGGAAAAGGAAAGAGAAAAGAAAGAGGCAGGGAAAAGGAAAGAGAAAAAGAGACAAAGAAAAGGAAAGAGAGAAAAGAAAGAGGCTGGGAAAAGGAAAGAGAAAAAGAGGCAAAGAAAAGGAAAGAGAGAAAAGAAAGAAGCTGGGAAAAGAAAAGAGAAAATAAAGAGGGAGGGAGGGAAAAGGAAAGAGAAAATGAGACAAAGAAAAGGAAAGAGTGAAAAGAAAGAGGCTGGGAAAAGGAAAGAGAAAAGAAGGAGGGAAAAGGAAAGAGAAAAGAAAGAGGCAGGGAAAGGAAAGAGAAAAAGAGACAAAGAAAAGGAAAGAGAGAAAAGAAAGAAGCTGGGAAAAGGAAAGAGAAAAGAAAGAGGGAGGGAAAAGGAAAGAGAGAAAAGAAAGAGGCAGGAAAAAGGAATGAGAGAAAAGAAAGAAGCAGGAAAAAAGAAAGAAAAAAGAGACAAGGAAAAGGAAAAGGAAAATGAGAAAAGGAGGAGGATTGGAAAAGAAAGGAGAGAAAAATAGTGGGGAGAAAGAAATGAGAAAAAGAAAGTTGGTTGATTTGTTTTTTATGGCTTAGCAACTTTTTGAACGTTATTTAAAGCTAGAAAATAATTTTTAGATTGTAAAAATCTTTTGGTGGTAATAATGATTTACGGATACAAATCCTACTAATTAACCCATAGATGGGGCCGTGGAGAAAATGTTGATCCGTACCTTTCCCCAGGGTAAGTATATAAAACGTAAATAAATATAACGAAGCCGACTGGATTTCCAATTCCGGACCGTTATTCATAACACCTATGTACTGACCAAGCTCGACGTTGCTTAACTTCGGTGATTCAAGTCATATGACCGTAAGAAAATAAAGATGCGATGTAAAAGAGAGAGAAAAGTCGGAGAACAGTCGAATAAAACCGAGAAAGAATGGAATAAAGAAAGAAAGAAAGAAAGGAAGAAAGAAATAAATAAAGAAAGAAAAAAACAAAAACGAAACCCTCACCGTAGTGCAATGGTTGACAGAGGTCACCAATATTAGCATTAAAGAATTTGGTCCTTACTGAGTGCCAATCTACGATTAATAAAATTCCAAGAGTTATTACTGTAATTGTTATTTATTAGTCATAGCTTAGTTTGGATTTGGCACAAGGCAGCAAGTATGGAGCACTCAGGTAAAATCGAAAGCACTATTTAGTAGTAATGGTCAACTAGACCAGTAAGCTAATCATTATGATTATAGTTAATTCTATTTTCATTGGATACCCAACATTTATGTCCTTGTACCAAACAAAGGTAAGTGTCTTGGTTCAATGATGATCAAATTGATCGCATGAAGCATTATGTGCAAGGTTCAATCGGTGCTCACTCTTGTCGCTTTGTGTCAGACTAAGCTTAACTCTAGTGAATACACACGCACACACACACGCACACACACACGCACACACATCTGGTTTTGCCAAGTGATGAATATTGAAGGGAAAAGAACAGAGGGAAAAGCGAGAGAAGGAAGAGAGAGATAGAAGAAGAAGAAGAAGAAGAAGAAGAAGAAGAGAGAAAGAGGAAAAAGAAAAAGAGAGAAGAACGAACGAAGAGAAACGAGAACGAAAGAATGAAAACAACAAAAGAAAAGGATAAAGGACGAAAAAGAGACGGGAGAAAAAAAGAGAATGAAGGAAAAATAGAATGAAAGTAAAAGGAGAAAGAAGAAAAAAGAGGTCGAGAGAAAAAGGGAAGAAAGGAAAAGGAGAAAGAAAAAAGGGAAGAAAGGAAAAATGAGAAAGAAGAAAAAAGAACGGAAAAAAAAGAACGAAGGAAAAAAGAGAATGGAGGAAAAAGAGAATGAAGAAAAAAGAGAACGAATGAAAAAGAGAAAGAAAGAAAAAGAGAATGAATAAAAAAGAGGACGAATGAAAAAAGAGAATGAAGGAAAAATGGCAACGAATAAAAAAGAGAACGAAGGAAAAAGAATATGAAAAAAAAGAGAATGAAAGAAAAAGAGAACGAAAGAAAAAAGAGAACGAATGAAAATGAGGATGAAGAAAAAAGAGAACGAAGGAAAAATGTCGACGAATAAAAAAAGAGGACAAAGGAAAAAAGAGAAAGAATGGGGAAAAAAGAGAACGAAAAATAAGGACGATGGAATAAAAGAGAACGAAGGAAAAAAGAGAATGAAAGAAATAAGGAGGTCGAAGAAAAAAGAGAACGAAGGAAAAAGAGAATGAAAGAAATAAGGAGCTCGAAGAAAAAAGAGAACGAAGGAAAAAAGAGAACGAAGGAAAAATGTCGACGAATAAAAAAAGAGGACAAAGGAAAAAAGAGAAAGAATGGGGAAAAAAGAGAACGAAAAAATAAGGACGATGGAATAAAAGAGAACGAAGGAAAAAAGAGAATGAAAGAAATAAGGACGATGGAATAAAAGAGAACGAAAGAAACTGAAATGAAGGAAAAAGAAAATGAAGAAAATAAAGAGGACGAAGAAAAAAGAGAACGAAGGAAAAAAGAGAATGAAGGAAAAATGTCGACGAATAAAAAAAGAGGACAAAGGAAAAAAGAGAAAGAATGGGAAAAAAGAGAACGAAAAAATAAGGACGATGGAATAAAAGAGAACGAAAGAAACTGAAATGAAGGAAAAAGAAAATGAAGAAAATAAAGAGGACGAAGAAAAAATGAGAACGAAGGAAAAAAGAGAATGTAAGAAATAAGGAGCTCGAAGAAAAAAGAGAACGAAAGAAAAAAGAGAACGAAGGAAAAAAGAGAATGAAAGAAATAAGGAGGTCGAAAAAAAGAGAACGAAGGAAAAAAGAGAATGAAAGAAATAAGGAGGTCGAAAAAAAGAGAACGAAGGAAAAAAGAGAATGAAAGAAATAAGGAGGTCGAAAAAAAGAGAACGAAGGAAAAAAGAGAATGAAAGAAATAAGGAGGTCGAAAAAAAGAGAACGAAGGAAAAATGAAATAGAATTGGTGGGAAATTTATTGGAAAGAAAAACGGTTGTGGGATTAGCAGAGTTAATAAGAGAGGGTGTGTGGAGTGAGATTTACGAGAGAGTAAAGGGGAGAGGAGAGAGATTAGCAGAGATAAAGTTAGGGAGGAGTTGACAGTGTGAGCAGGAAGATGAGCAGAGTGTCGGTGTGAGTAGCCGAGATTGACAACGAGAAGAGGAGAGGTGTGAAGCTTTGGGATGTGAGTTGAATGTGAGAAAGCGACAGAAGAGAAATACGTTTTGGGGTGGGGGTGCGGGAGATTGAGAATTATAAAGTGGGGAGAGAGAGATATATAGGATTGAGAACAAGGGACGACACCTAACAGATCGAAGAAGAGAGAGAGGGTGATAGGGAGTGGGGGGGCAGAGAGAAAGAAATGAGTAAATATGATGACTGAAAGAGATGAGGTGGATGTGTGGGAGGCGATTGATTGGCAGCTGACAGCGATGACCCACGTATGAAAGAGAAAGAGAGAGAGAGAGAAGAGAGAGTAACAGAGAAGAGAGAGAGAGAGAGAGGAGAAACTGATTCTGATCGAAGTTTTAATGTCGGGTGGCACTGATAGAGGAATAAAAAAAAAAGAGAAAAAAAGAAGATTGTTTGGGTGAGCACGTGCCGAAGGGGGCCTTGAAAATGGCGGTTTGACAATCCACCGATCAACCTCCCTCGTGACCACGACGCTACGCCTTACCCCCCAATCTCACCCCCCCTCACCGCTCACCCCTACCGGGCACCGCCACAGTCAGTCCTGTCCCAAACTGGCCTGCAAGTAATTAGAGATCAATCTAAAATAACTCGACTCCAAGTCTAACAAAGATGCAGAATTGAAAGGGTCAGTCAGGCAAGGCCGAGATGCATTTGGGGCGGGCCAATGCGGGGGTGGGGAGGGAACGGACGGACGGACGGACGGACGGACGGGGAGAGAAGGAAACGTGCAGTTGGCATTATTTATATATGATTATTTATAACCACATGCGCATGCATCAGGGTATAATTTTATGGACGTGCTACGATCTTTCTCGATCTCTTTTATCTATCTAACTATCTCAGTCTATTAATATCTATCTATCTATCTATCTATCATCTATCTATCTATCTACCACAGTCTATTAATATCTATCTATCTATCTACCACAGTCTATTAATATCTATCTATCTATCTATCTATCTACCGCAGTCTATTAATATCTATCTATCTACCGCAGTCTGTTAATATCTATCTATCTATCTATCTATCTATCTATCTATCTACCTACCGCAGTCTATTAATATCTATCTAGCTAGCTATCTACCAAAGTCTATTAATATCTATCTACCTACCACAGTCTATTAATATCTATCTACCAAAGTCTATTAATATCTATCTATCTATCGATCCATCTATCTATCACAGTCTATTAATATCTATCTATCTACCACAGTCTATCAATATCTATCTATCTACCACAGTCTATTAATATCTATCTACCACAGTCTATCAATATCTATCTATCTACCACCGTCTATTAATATCTATCTACCACCGTCTATTAATATCTATCTACCACAGTCTATCAATATCTATCTATCTACCACAGTCTATTAA